AACTGATAAAACTGGAACTGATAATCCGATGGATGAGAAACTTCTAATTTGCAGCGCCAGGAAAGGGTTTTGTTTTTCCCTTTGACGAGTCCAGATGATGATGTCTAATATAATTTATGGTTACAGGTCAGGTTCAAGTTCCTGATATTTCAAGACCTATTATGACGTAGCATGTTTATTATTCTGGGTGTCCTATGGCTCTTCCAAGTTATGCTGGAAGATTTCGTTTTAATATTGTTATGTGAATTCCGACAAACCTGACGTTTACTGAAAGTGTAAGGTACAATATTTAGGAGATCTTCTTGGAACCAGGAAGCAGGAAATGACGATCCTAACGCGTGATTTTGTGACATGTGTTTTAAATACTTATAAAAAAAAAAGACAATATGGCCTAATTATCAGCAGAAGAAAAGCGTCTTTGTTTCTTTTGACAAATTCAGTGAACGTTTTGTTTTAGTTTTGTGGTCTGACTGGGCTCGTCCCAGTTATAATAATGATTGATATTCGTGTTGTGATTCTGCGTATCCCTTTGCTTTTCCGAGAAATGTTAAAATGTTAATAAAGTATATTCGCCTAAATCCGAGAAGCATAATGGTTGTGCATAAATTGTTTAATACAATATGCTACGATTTTCTCTAGCGAATATGGATTTTTTATCTTTTATTTCCTGCCGAAAAATGTTTCTTTCCGTATTCTGTTTTGCTTCTTGGGTTCGTCCCCAGTCCTCACTTTAGGTGAAACTCAATTAATGTGTTCACGAGCTGGTGCTTTTCCTAGTCAGCGGTACAGCAAAACAAAATACATGTCAATTAGTACCAGTCGTCCGAGAAAATAAACACTTTCAATTTTCCTAAAAAAAAAAACATTTCCCAGCAAACCATCTGAATACGGAGACCTAAAAATGATATCAAGAGGACTTAATCATTCCAGTCTGATACCCGACATTTAACAAATTAAGATCAGTGAAATTTGTAGTGGATTTCAGGTGAGTCTGGCAGCGCAAAGATGATTGAAGTTTTGTTAATTGAATTTTGATCGAGGATCGGTCAATAGAAAGATATTTTTATGTTGTCATAATCGATAGTCGCTAGCAAAATCCTGATTAACCGATGCAATCGATCGTTTTTAGCTACGTGTATGTCCTTTTAGAAAACACAAACAAATGCCTTGAAGCGAATTTTGCATACGAGAGATATAATGACGTCTATGAGGAAATGATGTCTTTAAATTGCAATTTAAAGTTAGTGTAAGGTGATGATGCAGTCGATTCTTATGAAGGAATAGCCATTTACGGGATGACAAAAAATGAAAAACCTTTAAGACAGTTTTACCAGTGTGCAGTATATCAAGACCAAAGTCTAAGCTGAGTACTTCCAGATGAGCAACCGGCATCGACATGCGCACCGATATGTCACAATTATGTGAGCGTCTTATAAGGAAACAAACGTTCGACACAGCAGTACGTTCATTTGTTCAAGCATTTATCGTTTTCTTTAAATAATCGCTGTTTTGATTTGGACGACAGCACCTGACTAAGCCAGCAATCAGTTTCATGAGATTGCTATTAATGAATCTGATATCGATATTCGTCGATATCATAATAACAATAGTTCAATAGTGATTTAAAAAAATTCTGCTTATATCGGCTTATAATGTTTGGAAAGAAAACTTCCAGTGATCAATGAAATGCAATATTGGTTCACGTCTTAGAGATATTTTATTTGCTACATTGCGAATGAACACCACATTTCCGTCCAATGTTTTAATTTAAGAGGTTTTTATTTGACATTAAGTGTCTGGCTTGGAAAGAAATCTTGATCCCACGGCATAAAGTGCGCAATGGATATTGCGTTGAAGAAGAAAATTG